GGAGAACCCCACAGACACCCAAACGGACGGGGAGGGGGGAGGAGAATCCCACAGACACCCAAACGGACTGGCAGGGGGGAAGAGAACCCCACAGACACCCTCATGGATGGGGAGGAGGGAGGAGAACCCCACAGACACCCCCACGGGCGGGGGAGGGGGAGAACCCCCCCCAAGGGGAAGGCCTGCACAGACCCCACAGGCTGCACCCCACCCAGGGGCCGGCGCACACGCATGCTCGCCCCCCTGCACAGACACACACGTGCACGCCCCTGCAGCGCTGTGCACAGACAGACAGAGCCCGCGGCCAGGTGTGGGGCAGTTTTATTCCCCCACAGACCCCCCTCAGCCAGCCGCCACCGTCTCCTTGATCCAGGCCAGGACGCGCTGCACGTCCACGTATACGCCATACTTGGAGACAGCGCAGGTCTTGTCATAGCTGAGGATGCCGGCCACGTACCAGGTGTTGTCATCGGGGTCCTGCACGGCGAAGGCGCCGCCGGCATCCCCGTAGCATGTATCCTCCCGCAGCTCGCTCATGCCCACACAGAAGGTGTCATTGCTAAGGATAGGCTGGACCCAGTAGGACTCATTCCGCGCCTCGTAGTACTCCCTGCACCTCTCGCCCTCTGCCACCGGCAGCATCACGTACTTCAGCATGTCAGGAAAGGCAAAGGTGGCCCCGCGGCCCCAGCCTGAGACGTAACCCACCCGCCCCGGGCGCACATAGTCCTTCTGGGGCAGGCAGATGGGCATCACCTCCTCCCCGAGGAGCACCTTCTGCTTGAGCTTCAGCAGGGCCAGATCCACAGTCTCTGGGTAGCCAGGGTGCAGCACCACACGCTCGATGCCCGAGGCAGGCTCCTTCTGGCTGCCCAGGAAGAGCTGCAGTGTAGGGGCGATCTCCTCCGGCTTGGTGTTCTCGCTGTGGTTCAGGTAGACGTTCCTGCCCGTGGTCAGCAGCCACTGGTCACCAATGAGCGTGGCCCCCACGATGAGTTTGTGGCGGGTCACCAGCCGGCCCTGCCAAGGGAAGCTGCCCTTCCCAGCCAGCAGGCCACCGATGATACGCTGCATCTGCCTGGGGGGGTTCTTTGGCTTCCCGCACACTGCGTAGGGCAGAGCAGAGCCCCGGTAAGCCCTCTGAGGCCAGCAGGCGCTGGATGCCTCCCAGCCCGGGGCAGCCCCAGGGAGCAGCACTGAAGATGGGGGTTGTGAGCAGCCCCTGCAGCCCTTCAGCTGCCCAGACCGACCGCTTACAGCCCCCCACGCGCCCTACCCCTGCTGTTCTGCTCTCACCTGGCTCGCAGACAGGCACCTCCTTGCCAGCTTCAGGGCTCACCCACTCATGATCCTCGTCACACTTGTACGTGCCTTTGGAGGGAAACTGGAGTCAGTACCCCTGCCCTGCGAGGGAGGGGAAGGGCCCCGCAGCCAGGGAGGCACAGGCATACTTGTACCTCCCCAGGGCTTAGGTGAGCAGGGGTAGCTAGTCGTACCCCTGAGGAAGGTGGGGGGTGGGCTGCATCATCTGGCATTGGGGCAGCCCCATGCATCCCCTGGAGCCAGGGACAAGCCCCATCCCTGGGTGCTGCGCCCATGCCACCTGCCTCACCGTCACCAGAGCCGCGCAGCTGGTAGTACGGGTCGCAGCGGTACTTGATCAGGTGCTCCACGTAGCCATGTTCAATCTCCGCAGGCTTTGCACAGCTCCAGTCTGCAGGCAGAGGATGCTCAGCTGGCCCAGAGGACTCAGCCCAGGACATCACCCCCACCTCTGGCAGGTCCCTCCCCACTCCTGTCCTGCCCCACGCCTGCTCCCTGCCAAGCTGCCCCGGCTTCGTCCGAGCCCCAGTGCTCCCACCCTTGCCCTGGAAGGTACCTGTGGCGGTTGCAGTCTCCAGCACGGTCCAGGCCAGGCCAGCAATCAGCAGCACTGCAAGCCTGCAGGGAAGAGAGGGCACACTCAGCAGAGGGCCCCTATCCCCTGCTCCCAGTCTGCGGGCTCCACCAGGACCACTGCCCTGGCCAGGCTCATGCCCTGTCCCTGGGGGCTGCCTCCCCCAGAGGGTAGAGGGCTGACCCCACACACCCGGGGCTGCCCATCGGACACAGCCTGGAGAAGCTGCCTGGGCCAGACCCAGACCCTGCTGCTGTGGAGGACAAGGCTGCAGTGTTGGGACCCAGAGCGCTTCCCGGCCCAGCATGAGTCCTGCCACAGCTCACAGCAGGGCCAGGTCCTCAGCCAGGCAAGCAGGACACACACATTGACATCGCTCACCCCATGTTCATAGCTCCCTCTCTTCGTAGCAGCCTCCTTCTGCAGGTTGATGCTGTTCAGGGCTCCCTCCTCACCCCTTTTATGGCCACCTCCCTTGCCCTGGGCAGCCCCTGTGCTCCAGACCTCCTGACCCTGCAGTATGCAGCCAGCACCTTTCCCAGCAGGAGGAGCACAGAAAGCCCCACCTGGCTCACAGCTGGCCTGGCAGAGGCTCCGGGAGAGCCTGCCAACCCCCCATGGGAAGCCAGCGTGCCAGGAGTTTCTGGGATTTTGCAGCTACAAATATGCAGGGAGGGATCTGGCTGCAGATGATGGTGCCCTGGTGCTGCAACACCAGCTGAGGTTCACAGAAAGCAGAGCCAACCCCTGCCCCCTGCAAAACTGCCCTATGCCACTGCCTAGAGCAGTCCCTGCAGGGGCACCCGGCAGCCCCACAGGGCCCGGGCAGCTGTCCCTGTGCTGGCAGGCGAAGCTGAGGCACAGGAGCCGAGTCCCATCCCATCCTGTGTCTGGCTCTACCCATAGCCGGGGCGCACCCTGCCAGCCACCCCACAAAGCTGGGGCACAGCGGGGCTCGGCACTGCCACCGCTCTGGGCAGCACCAGCCCGGCTGGCCAAGGGGTGCAGCCCGTCCCATGCCCGCTCACTGCAGGCTCCGATGGACTTCGGCCAAACCAACCTCTTCCCACAAGTACCCACCCTTTCCCGCACAGCGGGCTCCAGCCCCACGTCCCATCAGCCCCTGGCCCCTTGGGTGCAGGTTGTTTATCAGCAGAGGCAAGGGCCCAGCCCAGCTTTACGGGAACTCGTAGCAGCAATCGCTGGCCAGTGCCCAGCTGGATGTGGCTAGCCAGCAGCAAGGGCATCGGGCAGAGCACATCAGCCTGCTCCTACAAGCTGAGCCTGCTTCCAGCAGGAGCACAACCAAGGGGCAGCATGGAAGGGAAGGGACAGGCACCCATCCTCTTACCTACCCCGGGGTGCCAGTGTTGAAGCGAGGCCACCCCAAAACCACGTGGAGCATGTGAGGCCAGCCCTGGCCCTGAGCCATTGAAGCCTGGCGTGCTGGGGGTCTCACCAGCGAGCGTCTTGCCAGTCTGTCAGGCTCAGGAGGGACATCTGTGTCTGGTCCCAGGTGCTCCAGAAGGCAGCTTTCCCATCCTGTGTAAGCTTCTTCCCATCTCATGGGGCACCTGGGCCCCTAAACAGCACAGGGCTTGACATGTCTGGCCCAGCACCGGTCATACTCATGCAACCACACTTGAAACACAGAAGGCTAGAGTCCAGCACAGGATGCATTGGGGCTTGACAGCTCCAATCCATGAACCACACCAGCACTTAGAAAGGTGCTGTGGCATCTGATGATAGCAGGCTTAGATAGCACCATCCCACTGCAGCAGGCTTGTCCCTCCACAGGAGACAGCCATGTCCTGGCAGGGGGAAAAAAGCAACACACAACTGTGCCTTGGTACCCACTTGGCAGCCTCAAGGTTAGCTCCGACAAAGGGACTGCCTGCAGGAAGGTGTGGGAAGCTGCCCCAGCCTGCTCGTGGGGCACGGACCACAGCCCACGCACTGGGCTGTGGCAGTGCAGGACCATGCCTGAGGCCAACACCGCCAGCAACTGCTGTGGCAGTGCAAGGCACTGAATGTCTCCAAGCCACAGTCACGTATCAGCTGCAGAGCACAGACAAGAGTGCTGTGGGACAACGTGAAACTCAAGCTCGTGCTCCCACAGGCATGAGAGCCACATTCAGACCAGGAGAGTGAGAGCCTCCCAGGCCTTCTCCAGAGAAAGCGCATCAAAACCTTGGCCAATGGACCAGGTCGCATCCCTGTTAGAGCAGCAATAAGCACCACCTGCCAGAAGCAAAGAATCTAGGAAATGAAGAGGCTGGTGCAGAGGGCTGCAGAAGCAGGGGAGCAGGCAGGTGACAGCCCTGACGTGAGCTGAGGGCCACTGAGAGCAGGGTCAGCAGTCCCACTCCTCCTATAAACAAATTTGTTGAAGTGCTTGTGATGCAATCCTGCTCTGCAGGGTGGATTGCAAGAGGCTGCAGAGGGAACACTGTGTCCAGGTCAAGTTGTGTTGCTCAAGAAAAGCCTGAGACGACCACAGGGAGTCCAGGGTAAAGTGGCAGTCAATACCAGAGGCCCCAAAGACAAATCCAACAGCGTCCAGAAGCGTGAACGAACAGGGCTTTTCCATAATAAGCGACAGGGCGTAACCGCAGCTGTCTCCAAACATCTGCACACCAGCAGCAAAGGGAGGAAACAGCGCCCAGCACCTCACAAGGGCCCAGCCCCAGGCAGAGGTCTTTGCAAGGGGAGCCCTGGCAAGCTTTGCATGGATCCATCCCAGCGCCCAGCTACCCTGTGGTTTCTACCACCAGGAAAAGATGCACTGACCAGTAACAACATAAAGAGAGCTGATCCTGCTCGGCTGAGGAGAGTTGGGCTGCGTCCCTCTGACTCAAGAGGTGTCCCCGAAGCAGCACACAGGACCAGGTGAGCCAAACATTTATTGACACTCAGGCAGGACCCAGGACCTGCAGGTTTGTTACAGGATCACGTGCGGAGAAGGGAGGAGGGCAGGGAGGGCAGATGCTCCTGCAAAGGCTGCAGTGCAGGAGGACCGAGCATCAACCAGAGAAGGCAGCATGGGCTGTGGCATCCCCGGCAGAACGGACACCCAATACACTGCTTGGCCCACGGCTCTGGGCAGTAACACCAGGGAAGGTGTGCTCTCCATGGGGCAGTGCTGCAGCAGGAGGCAGGGCACAGGACTGCAGGGCTGTCCCCTCAGGAGCTTTCCTCACCACCCAGCAGAGCCTTACCCAGCGCTCATTTCTGCTGGGGACCCCAACCCACAGGAAAGCCAAAATACAGCCCTGGACAGCGGCACCAGTGTGGAGGCCCCCTCCCCTGCTCCCCACCAGTGCAGCCCCAGCTTCACCCATCACTGACCCTTCTCAGGGGCTGGGACCAGGACCTCAGCTCAGTCCCAGCCTGCCCAGCACTGGAAGCATCAGACCTGTCCCTGCTTGGCCACAGCTCCTCCTGGCTAGACGTTGGTTCTGTGGCGCATCAGCACCGGTGATCGGCTCCAACTGCCTCCATGACATTCTTGAACCCCTGCTCCCTAACCAGGGACAGCATGTGGCGGCTGGGTTGGCCTGGCACTGCGGCTCAGCCCCACAGTACCACTGCTCATGCACCAGCATGTGGCTGCCCAGGGGCTCCCTGGGGAGGTGGCCAGCCCCTCACTCACCTCAGCAGCTCCTCTAATTCCCGCTTCACTGTCCCCACCACCAGCGGCCCATGGTACACGAGCGCTGTGTACATCTGCACAAGCGAGGCTCCAGCGCGGATCTTCTCCAGGGCATCACGCCCACTGCTCACCCCACCCACCCCAATGATGGGCACCTGGCCTGTGGGCAGATGCAGGGTCAGGACAGCATGGGCAAAGCCAGCACGCACCCCCAAGCCCTGCTCTGCCCCTACCTCGGGTGAGGGAGTACATCTCCCTGATGGTCTGCGTGGAGAGCTCCCGCAGGGGCTTCCCGCTGAGGCCCCCAGGCTCTGTGCACTGCCTGCTCCGGAGGCTGCTGGGGCGGCTCACGGTGGTGTTGCTGACAATCAGCCCATCCACACCTAGCTGAGGGGGGCAGCAGCATGAGGACACAGCTGCCACGAGCAGCCCCCCACTCTCATCCCCCAGGCTGCCAGGCCCGGCCCCCCCCAGCAAGTGCCCCAGCAACGTGCCCAGGGACAAAGCAGCTGCCCCTCACTGCCTGGACCATCCCCAAGGTCTGGGTGATGCACACAGGCCCTCGCAGACTCAGAGCTACCCAGGACACCATCCCTATGGCAGCCAGAGCGCCGCGGGTCTGCCTGTCCTTTCAGAAAGGTGACTTGCCAGGAACACCATGGTCTTGCCCCTATGCTGTGTGAGGTGAGGCAGGAGGCACACCAGCCCAGCTCCTCGCCAGTCTCCCCTTCCCACCTCCTCACCTCACAGACAACACTAGCAACGTCCTGCTTGTTCTGCGCAGTGAGGTCAGGGGCAATCTTCACCAGCACAGCTGGCTTGCGCTCGCAGGGCAGCACGTCCCTCTCCACCAGCACCTGCAGGGGGATGCATGGGGGAACAGAGCAGCGCGTGGTGGGAGAACACGTCCTGCCCCAGACCGGGGAGACACGTGCACCCATTGCCACAAGGCAGCACAGGGACAGGCCCCGCTCTCCCTACATGGTGCTGCCAACGGGACGGACACACTACGGCACAGGGCCTGGGGCACAGGACCCGCACAGGACTGCAGCGACTCCCGATGCCACGGGGTGGGTGGCTCGCTGCCCCCTTGCAGGAGCAGAGCAGAGCACAACACCTCACTGCTCTCATGCCCTTTGCTGGAGTACAGAGCCCTGGTGAACCCCACACCAGCAGCTGATCAAGGGGCACCTCGGTGGCTCTGCCCACCACTCCAGGGAGCCACCACGCTCCTCCCTGCGCTGGGGCAAACCCACCGGCTGGAGCAGAGCAGGTGCTGCTGGGGGATGGGATGAATCCAGTGCTGCAGCTGTAGTCTGGGCTGGCTGTGAGGGTCACCCACCTTGGTCAGCAGGTCCCGCAGCTCAGTCTTGCCCTGCAGGTCCCGCAGCCCTGGGGTGTTTGGGCTGGACACATTCACAACCAGGTAGTCAGCCAAAGGGCCCAGCATCCGGACCCCAGCCACATAGTCAGCTGCAGCATCAGTAGAGCTCTTGTTCTTGCCCAGGTTGACTCCAAGGGGCATCCCCGCTGGAACACAGACACGGCTGAACCAGGGCAGCAGGACCAATCACCACCCAAGGGGCCAGAGCACCTGACAAGGGAGGCCCCAGGACCAGCTAAATGAAGATGGAGATATGCAGCCCACATGTTTCACGGGGGTGGGCCTGGGACTGTTCTGCAGCCACAGGAGCACCACCACAGTTGCCCTGGTCAGCACCTCCCAGCACCGCAGCCTCTAGCCTGGCCACCCAGCAGGGGCTGCCCTCGGAAACTGCCCAGCTGGGGCACTATTGGCTTTGGCTAGTCTCAGCAGACACATCCTGCCCAAACCAGCAAGCGGAGCCCTTATCACAGAGAAAATAGCGTGAGAAAGGTGCCTGGTCACAGTCCCAAGGGGAAGAGGCTACAGCCCCAAGAGAGTTCCTGCTGTCCAATTGCACCTCATTCCAGCCAGGGCCCTCCCATGCCTGGAGGTTAGTGTTACACACCTTTCCTAGCCTACAGCTACCCAGGAGACCCCCAAACCCACCCTGCAGGCCCCAAGAGCAAAGGCTTATAAGCTTGTCTCACCACTAGTGAGCCTGAGCTGTGTCTCCTGGCGGGCCCGCAGCCTCCGCTCCACTGCGACGTGGCCGTGGCTGTTGAACCCATACCTGCACCAGAACAGACAAGTTCAGGGCTTGTGTCCACAAGCCCTGAGCAGGACCCAGGAGAAACACAAGGGAGGTGTATGGTGTCTGCAGCTCCGCTCAGCACATCCAACCCAAGAGCCACCACAGCACAGACCACAGAGCTGGGACCACCCAAATAAAGGTGCTCCCTCTGGGTGGACAGCCTGCGGGACACCGCAGAGCAGCCACCATCAGATCCCACCTGTTAATGACCGCCTCGTCCTCCGCCAGCCGGAAGACCCTGGGTCTGGGGTTCCCCTCCTGGGGCTCGGGTGTGACAGTCCCTACTTCCACAAAGCCAAAGCCCATCTTGTACAGCCCATCCACGGCCTCGCCATGCTTGTCGAAGCCGGCCGCTAGGCCCACCGGGTTGCGGAACCGCTGCCCGAGGACTCGCACCTCCTGCGGGGCAGGGGCTAGGTCAGACATGGGCAGCCGGGAGGGTCAGAGCCCACCGACACCAGGAGCCACAGCCAGGGCCTCGCCCTGGCCCCCCAGAAGCAGCTCCAGCCCCCTCCCCTCCATTCCCCCTGCCCCACAGGCTGCCCTTATTGGGTGCCTGCCCCGGGGGACCCACGGCTCCTGCCGGGACCATCTCCTGGACCCGGGGCTGCCCTGGGAGCCCTGCTGGGCACCTCAGCTGGCTGCCAGAGCTCATCGCTCCCCCGCGGACTGCCACAGCCCCCCCCCCCCCC